TTAGGAGTAATCTTAACAAGTGTCCCTTTTCTTATATCTTCTAAATCAATATATATCTGATTTAGAGACACTAATCTTAGAAGTTAATAAACTGACTTTTGCTAGGGGTGCCTGGGTGGCTCAGTTGGTTAAGCATCTGACTCTTGATTTTGGCTCCGGTCATGATCTCTCAGTCCTGAAATTGAGCCCAGTGCAGAGCCTCATGTGAAGCCTCCTTAGGATTCTCTCTCCCACTTCCCTTTGCCCCTCCCCCACACATGCACCTGGTTGCGCGCGCTCTCTCTCTTTCTAAGAAAAAAAAAAGTGACTCTTGCTAAAAAAAAAAAAAAAAACTCTTTTCAATTGAGGTACCTGATTTCCAGGAGATGTGGAGAAGGTATGAAAATTTTTAGAATTAATCCCAAACTCTTTAGCCCTTTAAAAGATAACTTTAGAAGCTTTTGGTTTAGTTATTTAAAATATTTTTCTCTGTTTCTCAGTTATTATACTTACTACAGAAATTCTGTGTTTTTCATGCAGGAATGTAGGACAAAAACATGGAGGCCAAGTATTGTATTCAAAAGAGATACACTGCTTATAAGAGAAGTCAGAGAAGATGACATTGGAAATTACACCTGTGAATTAAAATATGGAGGCTTTGTTGTGAGAAGAACTACTGAATTAACTGTTACAGGTAATCATAGTCTTCAATATTTCATTTGCAAGTAAAGAAACTACCATTTTACATTTACTTTTTGTGCTGCATATTGAGTTTTTCAAATCTATGCAATGAAATAAGTACTTAACCAAATGCTGAGTGGATTCCTATAAGGTTAAATTTATTCTTCCTTGCTTTTAAATCATCTTGTGCTGAAATGGATTTGAAAGGTCAAAGAAAATATGCTTAGGAAATTATAAAAATGTTAGCTTTTGAAAGTACTTGAAATAGTGAGTTTACATTTTCAGAAAATTATGCTTATATTTTATACTGGTATCATTTTTGGAAACATTTTCTAAGGTGTTGAAATAGAATATTTGAAATCTACCTCTGTCTTCCTGTCTTGCTCCAAATTAGAAAAATTACTATTTTATTGATTTTTCACTCTATAAATCTTATATATATGTTCTCATGAACTTGAAAATAACATAACTGCAGGGGCAATAATTGAATAATTGCATGAGATGCAGTGAATGGTGTCATTCCTGTCTCTGGTTGCTAAGGTAGAAGGGCATGAGAACAAGATTCAGAACTCTTTCTATAATCGTGAATCTACAGCTCACTAGTCACATGACCTTATTGGAATCACCACAACCTTCGCAATATCAGTTTCTTCATGTATAAAATGGCATTGATAAAATTTGCCTTGTATAGTTCATAGGAGTTTTGCAAGGATCTAATGAGGTAACGTAAGCTGAATGAGACCAGTTTGTATAATACAGAATTATATCCAAATGTACATTTTGGCCATTTTATGTCATGTAACATATTGTTTTCATACCTTTTTTTACTTTATAGTTTGCATCTCTAAAAGTGGTTCTAAGAGGGGAAGAAGGTGGGGGAGAAACAAGAGCAGTATTAGAGAGTTAGAGACATTGTTCTCATCTTACTGAGATTCTTCTTGGTGACTTTTTGCACAATCATATTTATGAAATATATACAAATAAGTTGAAAAGGATATCATATACTTTAAAGAGATTTTCATTTGTTCATTGGTTTACTTAATATAATTTTCCTGTATATGAGAAGTGTTTTGTGGCAGTCACCTTCATCTTATAATAATTGTCTTTTCTTTCAAACTTTGAAATTATGATATATTTAGATTTAAAAACTACAATTCAATTTCAAGAAATCCATTTGATGAATAGTAATTATTCTGATCTAAAGAAAATTTGGTTAAATAAATAAGGTACTCTTTGGTAATGCCTTTGATAAATATTAGACCCAGTAAATAATTGCCACTTGGAATATATATCTAAATAGTAAACACACATTCAGTCTCACATTATGTACATATGGTATGCATGTGTGTGATTTTTAAGTAGTTTGGTTTTCAGTTTTGCTGTGTTTGATAGGTCTCTGTGTAGAAAATTACATTTAAAACTTTATCACTTTACCTCCCTGTCTTTTTCATGGAACAATGAAAAATATAATTGTTTATACTTGGGTCTTCTTTACAATAAGTATTGAGGTTTTATTATTTATTTTTTGCTTTCAATCTATATTGAAGTAGATTTTCCAAGAGTAGGTTTAGAGACAAAGGAATTTAAAAATATACTGAAAAGAATCTATTCCATAAAGAATATAGAATATACTCCTAGTCTTTATTCTTTGGAGTATAGAGCTAATCCTTGGTACGCACATTTCTTCCCTTTCTAGAAACATTAGAATACTAAACCACTATCTAGTAAGAGGTGATGCAAAAAATCTCACAGAGACTAGAAATTGGGTCCCAAATGGTGAAATGACTTAAATGAGGCTATTTTGTATAACCAATAATAGAATTATTTTCTTTTCAATGCTACCCAGGGCAACTATATTTTCCTAACTTCATTTCTCCAAAAATATCTCCTTTTCTTCACTTGAAAAGAAGGAATAATTATTCTTTATTATCTAAGAGGAAGTAGGTGAAAGTTTTCATTCAACTGATTATCCCGAATACATCTAATTTAAGCGGCCTTACCTGTGACATTGATTTGGGCATATAAGTTATAAAGCCAAGTTTTGTATATATATGAAATTTGGGGTGAATGGGAGAGATCCATGACTAATAATTTGAAATGGTATGTATTAGAATACATTTTAGGTATTAATAAGTCTATTGGGAAGATCTCTTTTTTCGTAACCTTGCTTTAGTGTGACTCTAAATTTGGCCTGTGGTCAATTTAAATGACTCTTAGAACCCAAATTATATCTTACTAAAGCCACAAAGGTGGGAAGTTCTCTGGATGATAATTAACCAGTGTTTGGTATCTTGATTTTCTGCATATCATGATCATATTGTATTTGATGTAAATATTATGGAAGGTATGATATCATTTCATTTTAGTGGATCTGCATTAGCCGATGATAAACATTTTGAGGTGTGTTAGAGCGTGTTTCTTTAAAGTAAAGAATTCCATATGTGAAGAGAAAAGGAAATTTCTGGATAAATAAAGTGGCTAAATGTGCAGGCAATAATGTGAGCTTTTATGGGAGATCCTTCATTTATTAAAAGTGTGTCTATTTAAGTGAAGTAGTGGTTCAGGAAAACAGATCACGGTGTGCCTGGGTGGCTCAGTTGGTTAAGTGTCTGACTTCCGGCTCAGGTCATGATCCTAGAGTCCTGGGATCCCTGCTAGGTGGGGAGTCTGCTTATCTCTCTTTCTCTGCCTCTCTCTTTCTCTCTCTGTCTCCCTCCCTCTCTTTCTGAAATAAATAAAATCTTTTTAAAAATTAAACAAATAAAAGGAAAACAGATCACAGTGAAAAAATAATAAACCTGCTCATGACTGTTGGTATACTTTCAACTTTTTTTTTTTAATTTAAGATGTTTTGGCATCATCTGTAGCCTCCACCCTCTTCTCTAAGCCTCAGCCACACTGAAGTTTTTACTGTTCTCCAAATATCCTCCCTCTGGGCCCTTACTCCTGGGGTGTTCCTTTGGAATGCTTTTCCTTGCACATTGTCACAAGGCTGATTCTTACTCTTCCTTCAAGGCACAGCTAAAATGTTCCCTTTGTTTGGAGGCATGTAGTTCTTCATGCCTTCGTAGCACTTTTAAAATCCCGTTTGTGGCACTACCACATTGCATTGTCGCCATTGACACTCCTGTCCTTCCACGAGAATGTGAGCTACTTACAGTCAAAGGAATGTCTTCTTTTTTTTTTTTTGACACAAAACATTTATTAGTTTCTAACAAAAAGGCATATAAGGTAGGGCTATCAGAAAAACTAATAGAGAAATTAAAATTTATCTTAAGGTCAGGAAGACTTCTTCACAGACAAATAAGTGGTTAAATGTATAAATCCTATATATGTCACACTATTTTTTCCCCTTTTTGGTCATGGACTGTTCCAGGAAAATTTAATTATACAACTTTTGAGGAGTTCTAACAGTGTCCACCCTAAAATGTTAAGTGAAATTGCTCTTAGAAAAATACTGGTTTGATGAGAAGACAGATATTAGTGTATTTTGGAGAAATTTGGTTAGTTTCTGACTAGGCTTCATTCCAGCACAATCATTACTCAGAGGGCAATCACTTTTTTTTTTTTTTTTGAGAAAGGGCAAACTAAATTTTAAATTAGCATCAGAATTCTACCCATAATTACCCGATCAATATTGGAATAGATGCCATTAACTGTGCAAAGATTAACAGAATTTCAGTTACAAAATTTGGAGGAAAAAAAATCTTAATAATGTATAAAAATATTGACAGATTTAAGCTAGAATTAGCTCTAGAATGTTTTATTTTTACTTCAAAAGGATGAACAACTAGAGATCAGCAGAAATGCTGTTAAAACTGCTATTTGCTTAAAGTTGTTTATATTAATGAAAAAAAGATTAATAGTCTCCAAGTTAAATTTCACAAAATGAAATCACTGCCTTCTGACTTAACTTTCAGGGGTAAGACAGCAAAACCCAAGCATCAGACTCTCTTTTTCTGTCCATAAACACATATAAAAGTCAGCATCAATACAAATGATAATATAAGGAAATAAACACATGGTTATGTCTCAGGTCCCACAACAAAAGATATTATGATATTTAACTCTCCTACAGTAAAGTCCCATTTTTCCCCCTGGAATAGCAGATTAATAGAAATGTGAAATCCCTAAATTTCAGGCAATTTAGCAATTGATTTTGATTTTGATACCAGATACTATGATGTGAAAAGCTATAAAACCCAAATGTTTTCCATGTCATTTAGCAAAGAAAGGAGGAGGGAGAACCGTCTACCAAACTTCACTGGCTACTCCATCCCAGGCCCAGTTTCTGATCACTCACTCGGTTCCAACACTTCCAAATGGTCAACCTGCCCCACAGAGCTGCACCCCAACTCTTAACTCCTTTTGCATCAAGAGCCTAGTTTCCTTTCTGTCAACTGATTCCTAATTTTCCAGGAAACTGATTTTTCTGATTTCACAGTGATTATAAACCATTTTAAATTGAAGAAAATGCTATAATGGTTAAAATAATTAAAGTGGAGATGAAAACTAGATTACTTTAGTGTTACGGAAGATGCATTTCAAGTGCTCTGCAAATATATGGGAAAGTGGCAAGAAAACTCACCCTGCCTGGGTTCCTAACTACTCAGTACAGTACCATCTTGCTTTGATTACTGGTTAGGACAAGAAGGGAAGCAAAGGCTGTAAAACATGCATTTTGGGGAAACAGAATGGCACTTGAAGATTTCTTGGGAGTTCACCAAAGCATTTTAATATCCGTAAGGATTGTCAAACTTAGTACATCACAATTATTAAAAAAGCAAAGGATTGGGACTCCTGCTTATCACTGAGTTTGGCAGAAACACATTTATATAGTCCTCCCTTGTAATCACACAGTCCTTTATAGACAATGAGTGTGACCATTATGAAGAGTCTATGACAGAAGACAGAGCTTCATAATCCAGCTTTACTAGATTATAAAAAACTCCTTCTCCCCATGCATTACTTTGTATATCTCTGAAACATCTGAAAAATACTTTTCTGTGACTTACTAGGCTGTAGGGAACTTTTAGATACATTACAATTATCTCTAGAAGAATTTGGCATCTTTCTCCCATTAACTGAATGTTTCAACTGGATCTTAAAAGACGGCTGCCAATTTTCAGTTTTTTGAGCCCCTCTGAGATTTTGAATGCTCTGTATCAGTCTCTTGTTTGAAGTTCCTATCTTTGGAATTCTTCCTCTGTCCATTTAACAATTTGTCTGAAAATTAAAAAAAAAAAAACCAATTTGTCTGGAGGTGAAGATGTAGGACGTAGATGATACTCATGTGGGGATCCTTTTTGCTGGTTTGGCTTCTTTTGTTCTTTATCCACTTCTTTCTGAAGATGTAACACTAATAACCTATCCTGTTCTTCTTGTTTATGTCTCTCAAAAAGTAAGTGTTCCAAATCTATCAGTTTTGGGGTAAAGTTGGTTTTGGTTTCCTCTTGATCTGAGGAAGCTTTGGGGAACATTTTCCTTCTTTTTGCAGAAATGCATGGATCCCTGACTGCTTCAAAGATTCTGGGTTTTTTCTTTTGGAAGTATGTTTACTGATCGATGGACAAGACTCTTCATTTTCTGTCTCAGCTGTATTACTTCCAAATTTCTGTGTCATACCTGATATAGGGCACCCACTCTCTGTTTTGCCATAAGGCTTAACTGCAGCTTCCCCAGAGCAGGGAACTCTGCCTTCAGGTGCCTCATGATTTAGGACACTTAACTCTTTATCATCATTCGTTGGTCTCACTTTGACTTCTCCTTCAAGGCACCATTCTCCACCATTGGCAGATAACTGAGGCATAGGTGACTCTGAAGACTTTTCACCTTGTTCTTGAATTTCCACGCATATTTGCTGAGAAAGGGTTGGCATATCTTCCTCAATTTCTGTATCTTGCCATGTAGGGGTCTTTACAACACTACTGTCAGTTTCCTTAGACGTGGAGTGCTTCCTCCTTTCTTGTACAATTTCAAACTGTGATGCTGACTCAAACTGAGATTTAGGTGACAAATACTTATGAATATCTCCAGTGTTTGTTTGTTTGTTCTTACTTTTCTTTTGAGACTTGGTTGTGACTGTAGCAGATTTTCTGGAATTCGAGGGAGAAGCCAAGACACTTGCATCACAGAAATTGTTAATATTAATGCTTAGCTTCCTTGCTAGTTCTTCATCACTTTTCAGTTGTTCTTCCATCTCTCTTCGCCTTTTTTCTGCCTGTCGTTTTTCCTCCTCTTCCTCCTCTGCTAATAATCTCTGTATGTATTCTTCACTGGCTTTGTTTTCTTCTTCCTCACTGGCTCGTCGCTCTGCCTCCATCTTGCTTATCTCCTCCTCATATTCTCTTCTCAATTCCCCGGGTCTACTTAATAAGCGAACTGGCTGACAGTCATCAACGATTTCCTCAGATTCCTGCCCAGAAATTCTAAGCGCGCATTCCTTTGGATAGTGTTTTTGGATTAATTCCCACAGTTCCATGTTGACAAGAGAATTTCTTCGGGTATGGTATCGGGTCCACGAAGAGATCCAGCGGCGACAGAAGGGACAGCATAAACTCGCCTTCTCGACAGTCGATTGGAAGCATGGGTTACAGAGCGTGTGGTTACAAGGCAGCGTTACGGGCTCGATTAGGATTTCCAGACAGATGAGGCACTGGCATTCTGACAAGGAGGGGATGGCGGTTTTGGGTACAGCCATTTTAATATGCTAAAAAGTCATACTCAACGTCAATACCAGCCGAGGGTGCTCTCTTAGCTCCCGGCAGCCAAGCCCGAGGCCGCCCAGGCCGGAAGCTCCGGGGCCTCAGCTCTGACAAGAACGCTGTTTCCGCCCGGAAGTTGAGCTGCGCGGGAGCAGGACTTCCGTTTTACCGTTGTTGTGGCGGCAGCACGCGAGCCTCCACATTGCAGCTTTCGTGCTCCTGGACCCGTTTCCCGGCGCTCTGAGCCCACAGTCCCCTTTCTTCAGTCAGCCAAAGATACCTCATCTTAGCAGTGGTGCCGTAGCAACCCGACAAGGGCTAGTGACGTCACAATTGCCCACCCAAACAGCCAGGAATGTCTTCTTTTTAATAAGCATTTTATTTGACACCACTTTTACATTTACAGAAAACTTATAAAGACAGTAGAGAGAGATCCCATATACCCCACATCCAATTTTCCCTGTTATTAACACCTAACATTAGTATGGCACATTTATTACCATTAATGAATCAGTATCAATAAATTATCAACTACAGTCCGTATTTTATTCAGATTTCCTTAGTTTTATGCCTAATAGTACTTTTTTTGTTCTAGGATCCCATCCAGGATAGTGCATTACGTTTAATTGTCATGTCTCTTTAGGCTCCTTTTGGCTGTGACTGTTTCTAACTTCTCTCATTTTTGATGATCTTGACAATTTCAAGGAGTACTGGCCATGTATTTTGTAGAATGTCCTTCAACTGTGATTTATTGGATATTTTTCTCCTGATTGAACTTAAGTTATATGTTTTTGGAAGATCACAGAGGAATTGAGGAGCGCACTTGTCATGATGAGCACACGGTGATCTATGAAACTGTTGAATTACTACATTGTACACCTGAAACTGATATAATGCTGTATGTTAACTAATGAATTAAAACAAAACCTTTAAAATTTTTTGAGAAGTCATCATGTTACAGATAAATTTATCTGACATTTATTCATTACTTTTATGCATAGTATTCTGTTATATGAATATCTCACAATTTATTGATAGACATTTGGGGTTTTCATTTTTTGTTAATGTAAGTAATATTGCCATTAATCATCTTGTAAGCATAAACACACACACACATTTTTCATTGTGCATAATAGTTGGCATTATGTAGGACTTTTACCTAGGAGTAGATTTGCTTATTCACAGAGTATGTATATTTTTAAATTTACTAGATATTGTTTGGGCTGCTTTGGGTAATGGGCCTACCCCAACTAAATGAAATGAGGGAAGGAGGGGAGTAGTACTCCAGAGAGAAGTTGAGGTGACAGAAAAAGATGAAAAATGTTCAAGGAATATAAAGAATATAAACAGGAGATGTCCACTATTTCTAAACAGTATGATTTCTTAAAAATTGTAAAATGTGGTTTGATATTCATAAATTCTGTTGTGGGTAGTATAACAATTTTCTTCACTTCAGTACTGCTAAAAATTTAAAATGAGTCGGACCATTTGAAAAGCCATTTAATTTCTAGGGCTAAATCATAGAATGAAGTAATGATAAGAAAACAGATTGTGAAAATGTGAGATCAAGAAAAAAAAATTTACCAATAAAATGCAGGAGTCAGCAAAAACTGAAGAAGTGAAGAAAAGAAAACTGACTTGAAAAAGCATAAAGAATGAAGTGATTGCTACAAGGTGATGGTTTTAATAGCATTTTTATACTTGGTGTAACATTTTTAATAGAGTTAATGTAGCAATATATTTAAACTACTTTCCAGTCAACCAGAGGTTGAAAATATGCTCTCAAAAAGTACATCTTCCTCCTCTTTTTATGGATGAGAAAGCTGAGCAAAGAAAGGTCAAGTGGCTTTATCACAAAACATCATGGTGACAAATTTAGGAATAAAACTTAATTTCCTGAACTTCAGTTTATGATTTACTCTGCTGGATAATTAATAGCAAGGCATTGTATTTTTCATACTAGCTCTGGTGATCACTATGAAAGATTTATCATTTAAGTTCAACTGAAACACATTTTACTATGAGACCTTTAGTTCTGCCACTGATGTAATTAAATGGTGCATTTGTAGCTTAGCCTATGGGTTCAGTGATTTTTTTTTTCTTTAAAAAACGGTATCTTTTATCCTCCCTTTTAAAATACTATTTTTATTGACATTTTTCAGAGTCGAGTTCTTTACTGACTGTAACCTAATAAGCATTGGTGAAATTGATAACAAGAATTGATAAATTCCAGACTTGACTTTGTGTGTTTGATAATGTGCTAGAACTAATACCCACAACAACCATCACATATATTATTTTTGATAAAATGGAGCATGTTACAGATAGCCTTAGCTGTTTTTATGAGTAAATGTGTCATATTTTGCAACTCAAAAATCATTTCAATTAATTCAGACTTTTGAATTGAAAGAGATTAAAGCTGATCAATATAGTGAAACTGAGTTTAATCATTTTGGCTGTCCAATCTTGATGTGGAATTCAGTCCCTAGAGCAAAAGACCTCTCTTATGAGTATTTTCTAATGATAACTCTCCTGACACTAATTACCTTAATTTATTGTTTAATCTCTCAATATATTTAATGAATTGCCAAACTGTATTAATCAAGCAAATGTTTAATGTCAAGACATGATAACTTTGAATAAAAAGCATTATGTTTTACTCTTAAGTAGAAAATGTCATAGAATATTTCAGAATATATCAGTAGCAAGGTTGGGATGTGCCATTTCTGGCCATCGGGAAAAGAAGACATTATTCCTTTGGATGACTTCCATCAATATCAGCAATAGTAAGCATTAGTAATGAGAATAGTTAATACTATTTACTATGTGCCAGGATCTAAGTTCTTATTTATAACCACTCACTTAATCCACATAACCTCAATTTGCTCACCCTTTAAAACTTTTCAAGTGCTTTCTATGTACGAGGTATTCTTCTAGATTTTATAAATTGCACTTGAAAATAATCCATATTTTCCTTGCCCACTGACTGGCCTCCAGCCAGGGCCTCAAATGAGCCTGGGTCAAGATGGTATTAAAAACAGAAAGAAAACCAAAAACAAAAAACAAATCTATATTACACCCCTAAGAATGTGAAGTACTAGAATCCATAGATACAGGCTATAAAGTAGCTATGCCTAAAATGATGAGTGTTATTTTAAAAAATCTAAAAGAATGATGCCAATTTTGTTGCTGTGTGAGAGCATACAATTAAGAAGAGCACTTGGTCAGCAGTACTCCCTACCCCAGATCTATGATGTGTTTGATTTGACTGAATTCTATTACCTACTTTTTGGTATTATATTGTTGCCTAACATGGTTTATCAGCAAGAGCTAGCCTTTAATTTCTTGCTGCATTTGACAGCACTGGATTTGAAGTGTACTAGAATGTTTTCATTACGCTAGCCCTACCAGTGCAATCCTTCAGACTGTCTGCCTCTGAGAAGTGGTACAGTCTTCCTGTCCCCAGTCATCCCTCATGTCTGACCCTGGTGTGAGAGCTGTACTGCTTCTAGCCTTGCACACCACTAACCCAACTCATACCTACCTCATTGTTAGAGAGACAGCAACTTTTCCTTTGACGGCTAGCCATATGGCAGGCACTGTGCAAAAGGATTTATAAGCATTATTATCTACATTTTACCAAGGATGAAATTCAAAGTACATTGTGGACATGGATTTGTAATTTTAAATACAAGTCATCATCACTGTTTCTAATGAAGTTCCATTCCTTTATTTGCACTCTCCTGCTTCTGATTCTCTTATGCTTATTTCAGCAAATTCAATTGTGAGGCTGGAGAGCTGACCAATAAATATGCTTTGATAGAATGATTAGTTTAGTCAATTAGAGAAACAAGCAAACGTCTGGAACTGTGCTGTCCAATACAGTAGACATTGGCAATATGTGCCTACTGAGCACTTGAAATGTGACTAGACTGGATTTAAATGTGATATAAGTATAAAACACACGCCAGATTGCAAAGACTTGGTAAGACAAAATAATGCAAAATATGTCCTTTGTAATTTTTATACCAATTACATATTGAAGTTGTAATATTTGGTTAAATAAAATATATTACTAAATTAATTTTACCTATTTTCACTTTTTAAAATGTAGCCACTACAAAATTGTTAATTTTATATGTGACTTGCCTTATATTTCTCTTGGACAGCACTGCTCTAGAGAGTGAGTGTGATCTCAGTCTTGAAAAGTGTAAGGGGAAGACAGAGGACCCAGAGCCTTGGTTGTGGTTCCCTTGATGGCTGTGCCACACCTGAGCTAAAAGACCTTGTCCAAATCACCTGACTTCCTTAAGTATTGTCTTAATGTTGGGACTGTGAATACCCACTCACAGTGCTATGGAAAGGAGTAAATTAGCTCAGGCATGTGAAAGCAGGCTATAAAGAAATGTGCAAATGGAAGTGTCCACTGTTATGGTTTAGTCTGATCTGTGACTCTTTACCTTGGCTTGTTTTAATTAATGGAATGTTAATATTTATAATCTTAACCCAGTCTTTCAAATGACATTGATTATCATCAATACAAATCATGGAGTAATACTAAGTGATGGTTTCTATATGTGGATTAATCTCAGAAAATCTTATTTCTATATAGTCTGTTAACAAGTGTAGTCCAGTGTCTGTAAGGGATGTAAATAATGAATATATGCATGTCTTGCATTTCTGCTTTTGATCTGATGGTGTGTGTGTGTGTGTGTGTGTGTGTAACTTTGACTTATTAATGTCACTTCTTTTTTACAAACCTGGTTCCTTCTTTGTGGGTCACATTTTAAAAACCCATTTGAGTATGATTCCACTTACATGAGATACTTAGAATAAGCAAATTCATGAAGACAGAAAATAGAAGGGCTGGAAGGGGGGAAATGGAGCATTGTTGTTAGTCACTACAGGGTTTCAGCTTGGGGTAATGAAAGGTTCTGGAAATGGATAGTGGTGATGATTGTACAACATTGTGAATGTATTAAATGCCAACCAAGTT